GACCAGGGCCGGAGTGACAGCAGGGTGGGGATGCGGGGAGCACGCCATCGCATGTCGCCGATGGTGCAATCCAGCCTCCCACTTGCCTGCTTTCTGAGCCAGGCTTTTTCTCCGGCTCATCTAATCTGCTTAACCCCACTCTGGGCTGCCCGTCCGCTTTGTTCCCACCCTCCCCGCCCGCCGCCGCCTGCGACCGACCGAAAATCGGCCGCTTCCGATTGGGCGCAAGATCTCCTCATTTTATTCTCTCATAATGTTAGAGCTACTCCAGGTTCAGGAAGCTTTGGGATGTTAGGTCTAAGTGGCATCGCGGCGATCTGCTTGTGTGGAATGGGGAAAATCGGGAAAATCGGTGCTGGCGCGTTGTTTGACAGTGCCGCGAGGCTTGGCGGGCATTCGCAGGCATTCGAGCTCAGCAGCCACGCCAAGCTGCCCGAGGCGCGAACCGGCCCCTCGCATCGCGCCCTCCAGCTCGCACTGTGCAGCCTCTGACATTTCGCGAACGACGCCTCACGTCACCTGCAAAAACAAGGCGACACTCGGGTCCCCTCTGCTTGGCCCATCTGCGCAACTAACTTAGCCTGGGAGCCACGAGCCTGGGCCTCCTCTCTGCCGGGCTTCGAGCGTACCGTAGACTCGATCGACTCTTGAGACTCTACGCACCGCCGCGTGCGCCGCAGCCCGAAAGAAGCAGCTGAGCTACGTCCCACATCGCGGTACCTCTTCTGCACCACGCTGGAATGATCGTCACATGCGCTCCTAGCTTGATTCATGCATTGCTGCTCTCGACGCTCTGCAGTGTGGCACGCACCCCGCACCTGGATGACGCCGAAGCTTCCTGAGCCCGCTGCCGCTTTGGTCCCGTTCGAAGCGCGATCCGGGCTGGTCGACCGAGTGAAACTAGTCCCTCGCAGAGGCTTCCATGCATGGACGGCCGTCAATACAGCGGCAAGCACCAGATGTACATATAGCCGACCTTGTTTCCGTCGATGCTCTTGCCTTGCCACTTATACATCGAGCTGGACTCGCCAACTCTGCTCACCTTACTCGCCGCAAAATGACTCGCTCCTTGATCGCCTTGGCCGCTGCGGCCGTGCTTGTCTCGTCGGCAAGTGCGCAGAACAAACCGGACTTCAACGTGAACAATCTGCCGGACAAGTGGGAAGCCAACCAATCCGGCTCGAACCAGTGCAAGAAATGGGGCGCCTCTTCCGGGTCGTCTCTGTGCCAGAACGTGTTCATCAACAATGCCAACGACTTTTGCCTCTGGGGACCCATGAACCCCAACTCGCAGATCGGTGCCAACGAAGAATCCGTGGTCTCGTACTGTCTCAAGTCGGGCTACGGTACACGCCTGATTCCCAACGGAGCGATCAAGGGCGTGCAGTTTGTCAAGACGCCCAACTTTCTCCAAGTTACGGGAGTGGGTGACTTTACGGGACTCAACATTCAAGCGCGCGATGATGGAGGAGAACTCGACCCGCACGGAGCCGATGGAACGGGAAACCCCAAGGGCGGTCTTGTTTTCTCCAACAACGTCCCCGGTAGCGAGGGAAAGTACGTCCAGATCAAGGAGTGGAACAACTTTATGAGCGCCTACGAGTTTTCCTTCCGCGCAGCCTACGGTCCCCAAGCAGCCCAATACGCCCCACACATCTACGACGTCATGGGCGCCTACTACAACACCAACGGCGGAAAGTTCCAACAGGGCACCTTTGAGGATTGCCAGGGAGATAGCGGCCAGTTCGTCGGAGTGTATGGTGGAAGCACCTTCTACCAGGGCCAGAAAAATACCCCCGCGGCCCACAAGCCCGCGGCAACCTACAACTGCAAAGCTTACCCCACCGTGGCTAACGGTCCTGCTCCCCAGGCTCCCTACCGCCGAAACATCGCTGCTGACAAGTAGAATTCCCCTCCCACACACTGAGCTCGCATCGGTCCATACTCGCATCCGTTCGCTAGAAGCTGCTTCCTTCACGCATCCTTGTCAAATCCCTCTTTCGCATCGTCCCTTGTCTTTGCACATATCTCGTCTTTAGCCCTGGATCTTTGTCTGTGGATGTTGTGGTGGGTATCTATATCTAGAGCTTGGTCTGCATGGTGGTGGGCTTGGTCGCAGGAGCTTCGGGGTCGGACCAGCCTTGACCCATTCCGTCCTCATTGACGTTGTCCGGCACCATGCCAAAGTGCCACTCCCTCTCTACGCCTCCTGGCAAGAACGAGGCGTCGCCATTCAACTGCTGGGTCCACTTGCCTTCAGAGTTGGTGCGCACGTACTTGCTAAGGGACGCCGTACCTGCTCCGATGAACTTGGTCCTTTTTCCGTCGGTGTCGTCGTTGAGCAGCACTCTTCCCATGGCAATGATCGTTGCTGCATGGCTGCAGATCAGCACACGCTTGACGCCGAGTTCCTCGCAGCGCTGGGCGATGAGATCGAGTACGCGACGTGCACGCGCGTGCAACTGCGATATCGACTCGCCGTTCGCGTCGGGATACAGCATGGGTGTCCAGGACAGCGAGAGTTGCGGGATGAACTCCTGCATATACTGCGCGCGAGCTGGCGATGGGTGGACCCCCGTTCGTGGTGTGACGGTCGGGAACCACTCTGCAAGTCCAGGTTCTGCTACAAGCTCCAGCTCCAGCGCGGACGCCGTAGGCACCGACGTCTGCAGACACCGATAGTACGGCGAGCTCACGATAAGCTGTGGACGCTCCGAGGCGGGAAGCGAGCTAAAGTAGTCGGCAAGGTGTCGCGCTTGCGATTGGCCGTGTGCAGTCAGCACGGGATCGCGCGGTCGTCCCGTCGGCAGAAAAGTCTCGGCGCCAACCCAGCTCATCCGGAAGCCGTGTCGGCAGATGTAGATGGTGTCGAGCATGGCCAACAGCACAGCCAGACCTCTGCTGTGTGGAAGTGCGTTCTACAGATGGTTGTGGTCGCTCGGGCGTGACGATGCGGACGGAGGAGGTGCAAAAGAAGCGGCGAGAGGACGTCGGCGAGTATGTGCGGGAGGAAAGCTCGCTTGTCCGCAGCTCTGAACCCTTCGCCGGCCTCCCCGCATGTCCGAATGCCGGCAAAGAAGACTGCCGCGGCAAAATTTGAGTAATGTGAGATCGCCACTTAACTCCCAACGTAAAATGTGGTTTTCGACCCCAATTTCAGCTCCTCGATTTTGAGAAAGCAGAGAAAAGATTTCGTTTTCATTTTGGAAACCCGGTCGATGCCCCACCTGTGGGCCTGCATCTGTACGAGCTAGACTGGAGCTGGGCAAGGAGGTGTATCTGGGCATGCGACGCTGCTGATATCCTTGCGATACCTGCTCTTCGCTCCTACAGACACACTGGTCTGTATCGGGATTGACCATCGAAGAGCGAAGCATGAGAGTGCGCGGCGGCAGAGGCATCGGCTCTTAGCAAACAGCGCATGCAGGGCCGTCAAGGGTCGCCAGCCTCCACACAGCTGAGTTGGTCAGCGGTGGAGCTGCTTTCCTTTCCTTTTTTTTCTTTTTCGTTTCGATTTTTGAAACTCGAGATGGAGCACGAAAGAAACGAGGCAGCTCAGCGCGATGACGAGGGAAGGAAGCGTGCTTCTTCCCCACCGACCAACGCAGCATTTGTCGCATTTCTCGCAACACCTCGCATCTGTGCCGGCCGCCTCGATCGACGGGCGCTCGCTACATCAGCTTTCCGCCTATCTGTCCCTCGCCGATTGTCCAGCTTCGACCGACCGCTGAGGCTGATTCATCGCCCTCACCCGCTCGGACCATCACGAAAGCAGCTGCTCCACCGTCCCTCCCTCTCTACAACAGCCTATATATCGCTTCGCATCCGTTTCGTCGATCGTGACCTGCCCCGCGCCCCCATAGACTCGAGTTCATGCACCAGCTCTCGGCGCTCTCTACGCACATCGTACGCGCCAAGCCTCTCGTCATCCTCACCGCATCGACTCGTCCGCTCCGTCAAGCATCCAGCTTCTCGCTCATCTGCGCCAGATCCTCCACAAAAGGGAACACGTTCGGCTCGCGCTCTACATCCGCTTCAGCGCACTCACCGGCCGTGCGCACCTTGGTCAACGCAAGCATGCCTTCCGTCGCCCAGCTCCGACAGCCCTCGCCATCCATGCTTCCCCCGGCAAAGCGCGCCAAGATGGAGCTCAACACCGAATCCAAGTCGCACGTCGCTGCCGCTGCCCCAGAGATTGAGGCCGTCGCCGCCGACTCCACCTCGTACAACGACGTGCCCGCCCTGCCCGACAACGCCCATCACCACGTCGACGATCTCGACCCTATCCCCGCCTGCACCTCGACGCTCACCTTCCAGAACGGCATCTTCCTCGCGCCCATGGTGCGCATCGGCACGCTTCCCACGCGCCTCCTCTCGCTCGAGTACGGCGCCGACCTCGTGTGGGGTCCCGAAATCGTCGACCGCGCCATCATCGGCTGCGAGCGCAAGGTCAACCCTGCCACCGGCGTCGTCGAATACCTCAAGGAGCACAAGCAGATCTTCTCGTGCCACCCCATCGAACGCCCCTATCTCGTGTACCAGCTCGGCAGCGCCAACCCGGATCTCGCCTACCAGGCCATCAAGATCATCACGCAGGCCGACGACGTCGCCGCCGTCGACCTCAACTGCGGCTGCCCCAAGCCCTTCTCCACCCACGCGGGCATGGGCGCCAACATGCTCTCCACCCCCGTCCTGCTGTGCAACACGCTCAAGGCCATGCGTCGAGCCGCTCCACCCCACGTCGCCGTCACGTGCAAGATCCGCCTGCTGCCCACCCAGGAGGCTACCATCGAGCTCGTCGACAAGATCGTACGCACCGGCGCCATCGAATGCCTCACCGTCCACTGCCGCACCAAGGACATGCGTCCGCGCGAGCCCGCGCTGCTCCACCGCCTCCGCGAGATCGTCGACCACGTCAACACCCTCGCGGCCCAGATGGGGCGCACCATCCCCGTCGTATGCAACGGCGACGTGTGGGACGCCGTCAATGCACCGCGCATCAAGGAGCTCACCGGCGTCACCTCCACCATGGTGGCGCGCGGCGCAGAGGCCAATCCGTCGTGCTTCCGCCCGCAGGGCAGCCTGAGCATCCCCGACGTCATCGCGCCCAAGTGGGTGCGCTATTCGCTCGCACTCAACAACCCCATCGGCAACACAAAGTACTGCATGGCCCAGCTCGCCTTCAAGCCCGCCGAGTCCGTCGCCAAGGACGCTGGTGCAAAGGCCAAGCCCATGAACAAGAAGCAGCTCTCCGCCCTGCGCATGGGCATTGCCCAGGCAAAGACGCACGAAGAGCTCGCGGCGGTGTTCAAGATCGACGTCGACCAGGTGCGTGCACTCAGCGTGGACGACGAGATCCTCAGTGATCTGCGCACCGCGCTCTCCCAGCGCGTCTCGCACCGCTCCGCCAGCGGTGGCGGCTTCGACGGCGAGAGGCTGGGTGCTGTGCTCAACAATGCCAGCGGCGGCGCTTCGCAGCAGGTCGGCCAGGGCGCGAGCGATGGCCATGCTTCGGGCGACGGCCAGAAGCGCGCCACGGACAACTCGCCGCAGCCCGAGTGGAAGGAGCTGCTGGCGACGAGCGTGAGCGACAACATCAAGGACGAAAAGTCGATTCTCTACTACGCCTTCAGCACCGTCGAGCCGCCGAGCTCGGTGCACGATGCCGCCAAGCCGCACGTGCGCTACGTCGTCCACCGCGGCTTTGTCAACGAGCAGCGCGACGGCGATCGTCCGGGCGGCATTGCGCCGCACAATCCGTCGTTCGGCTCGAGCCCGTGCCTGCTGACCACCACCGACGTGCGCACGCCCAAGGTGCAGCAGCTCACGTCGCAGAGCAGCCTGCGTGCGCACGGCCCCGACGGCTCGCGCGGCGGCGAGTGCGAGATCGCCTGGTGGATCGAGTCCGCCCAGCTCCAGTTCCGCATTTCGGGCACGGTCCATGTTCTCCCCACGCCCGGACACCCGCTCCGATCGCTCTTCCCCTTCGAGCGTCTCTCGCCGCCGCGCGCGCCCGGTAGCGAGGCCATCGACGCCTTCGACTGGGACAAGGAGCGCAAGCGTATCTTTGATAAGCTCAACGCAGGCCTCCTTGCGTCCTTCTGCCGACCTACCCCTGGCTCTGCTCACCCGAATGCAGACAGCCTGCACCAAGCCAAGCCCAAGGACGACACCAGCTCCCCCTGGCCGTTGGAATTGCCCAGTCCGGGCAAGGAGGAGAATGAAGAGCAGAAGAAGATGCTCGAGGAGAGCGAGAAGAACTTTGCGCTCGTCGTCGTAGAGCCCTACAAGGTCGATCTCGTCAACCTCGCCGACGATACAAGGACCGTCTACGAGCTCCAGCCGGGCGAGTGTGCAGCCACGGGCAGGTGGACCGCGCGCCGCGTGGTTCCCTAGCCTTTACTGCTGATGCTTGGTGTTCCTGAGTCCCTGTGTTTCCGAGTCCGTGTAGATTTCCCGCATTTGCAATCGTATTGTCTGTCCCAGATGTCCAGCGTGATGGTGAACGTGGCGGTGCATGTACGACGCAGCTTGGGCGGAACGAGATGAAGGAGCGGCGGGAATGCAGGGGAACGCACAGACCCGCGATTGGCCGCACGCGGCGCATTTCACAGCGGATGATCAGCCTCCACTTTTTTGACGTCCGGGATCCAGGGTTCACGATCCCCACCATCTCTCCTTTCCTCATCACCACTGCCAGCTCATGAGCTGAGAGACGCGCAGAATGCATACGGCGTTCGACTGCGCGCCGCTGCTCACGGGCATTAAAGCACGCCCAGAGGCCATCACCACCCACGCAGGGAAACTCTACATCGGATCCTCCACTGGCTCGCTCGCAGTCTACAAGACACACCCGGCGTCGCCAACCGCCTCGGGCTCGGAGCCGGTGCAGCATGCGCCCAACTTTGCGCGCAGACAGATCGACCAGCTCGGCGTCGTCAAGGAGGCCAACGTGCTCGTGTCGCTCTCGGACGCGTGCGTGGCGCTGCACGATCTGTCCACGCTCGAACTGCGCACGCAGCTCACGCAGACCAAAGGCGCAACGACGTTCGGCATCGACACGTCCATCCAAAAACGCGTCGCTCCTGCCACTCCAGACTATGGACCGGGCCCGCTGGGCGCGCGTACGACCAAGAGGGCCGGCGCTCCGTGGGGCCCGACGGCGACGGTGAGCCGCG